ATTGGTTCATGTACACCAATATTCTATTTGCTGGTTTGACATAGCTCTCCAGCATTTCAGGCCTGGGTATGCTGGGATTGAGCTTGTAACCCTTGCATGAGAGATAGGTACTCTACAATGGAAGTAGGGGCACAGTAGATTTGACAGGGTCTTCTAAGCCTGTTAAAATTATATAAAGCTTCATTCACTTCAGAAGACCACAGGCACATCAATAAGAAGAGCAGATGTATGTGTCTGCCATCAAGTCACCTGGTGACATATGGCAACCTCATGAATTTCATAGGGATTAAGCAAGAAATACTCAAGAGGTGATTTAGTCAGTTCCTTCTTCTGAAAAAGGGGTAGGCAACCTTTCCCCTTTAAGGGCCGAGGGACTTCATCTCCCAGAATCCCAGGAGCTATTGGCCAACATGGGACTATTGGCCAATATGGCTGAGGCTTCTGGGAGCTAAAGTCCCTCGGCCCTTAAAGGGGAAAGGTTGCCTACCCCTGTCCTGAAATATAGCCCACAACACCTGGTATTCATTGGAGGTCTCCCATCCTAGTACTAATGAGGGCTGGCCCTGCTTAGCTTCCAAGATCAGACAGGATCTGATGCCTTTAGAATATTTACAACATAGCCAAGTCAGGTGGACCTAAATCAATTCTTGTCAATCCTTACACATAGTGGTACATTCAGACAAACTCAGAGGCTATGTCTGTTGGGATTGGCTGCACTGTTTCTACCTGGTCTGTGTACAATGAGTGCCTATATTATGTTGGACCTGCTCAATGTGCATTGCTTACATAAGGTCCCAATATTAAACACAGAGTATGTGTAGGCCTGGACTGTGCTCTTGTTGTTGCTGTTGCTAACTACTGTCAAGTCAACTGTCAAGTGACTTATGATGTCCAAGTAAATGAGAGACCTCCAAATGCCCCAGTCATCAATATCTCTACTTAGATCCTGGGCTGTTGGCTTCCTTGATTGGATCTATCCACCTGCAATACCCACTTTACTGATCTATCTATCTATCTATCTATCTATCTATCTATCTATCTATATTTCTAATCAGCCATGTCATCTCATGGTATGTCCAAATTACAATCACCTAACTCAGATCATTTTGGCTTCTAGGGAGAATTCAAGCTTTATTTGCTCGAGGATCCATTTATTTACTATTTTGACAGTCTATGGCAGGGGTAGGCAACCTTTCCCCTTTAAAGGCCAAGGGACTTCAGCTCCCAGAAGCCTCATCCAAGTTGGCCAATAGTCCCATGTTGGCCAATAGCTCCTGGGATTCTGGGAGCTGAAGTTCCTCGGCCCTTAAAGGGGAAAGGTTGCCTACCCCTGGTCTATGGTATCCATAAAACTCCCCTCAGGTGCCACATTTATCTTATGAAAAATCAGTGGAAAACCTACAGTTCAGCCCAACAGTTGTTGGACTTTAGAGATGCATGACACCTGGGTAGCATCTAAATTTGTACAAATTTGTGGTCTGTTTGTTCCCATGAAATGCATGTTCTGTTCATCCCAAAGGTAGACAGCCCCTGCTCTCTGTCAGTATTAAAAAGGGGATGGAAGGTAATTCTGAGCTCCTACTCTTGAAACATGTTTTCTCCCTTCTGCTCATATTAGATCTTCATTTGTTAAAAGCTCATTCCCCAGAAGGACCTGGCTGATTTTTAAAACTAAGTAGGAATGGAAATTCATAATGGTTTGATGCTATTCTCCCAGTCCATTTTTTAACTTTTGCCATCTGGCTTTTCTATCTGATCAAGATTAATGAGCTATTTTGCTTGTTCAATAGCAAGGCAATCCTGACTGATGCTTTGGGTTTCTCTTCTCCAAATGTCTAATGAACATAACCTCTGGGTAGCTTACGCTAATTTTGGGCCCCATACTGTGGCTTTTGCCATAGACTTGCTTTTTTCATAGCTCATCCATTTGGTATAATGTGAATGATATTATTGAAGCAAAGGGAACGGTGTAGGCATTTTCTGGATCTGTGTGATATTCCTATTACCTGAGTGAATAAAAATGGATTGGGGGAGAAAGGGGAGGGGAGAGAGTCTGCCTCTTCATAAACTGTGATAGTATAGAGCATGACTTGATTTATTATCTTTGTACTGCATGCTAGCATGTTTAATTCATGGGCTACATTAAAAGCCTCATTTTGCTGTTCCTACAGCTGCATCTACAATTTAGCAACTGCTTTGCAAGTTCCATATAACCCAGTGAAAGATTGTTTGCCCTGTAGGATTTAGAAATAAAGTGCCAAAATGAGTTTCAAATTTCATGCCAATGAACAAAACGCTCAGCTCCGATGTTTTAACAATAATGGTACTAGTAATAAAAATCACTGTCAGCATGCACATTGAATTAGAAGTACTCAAAGGTCTTTGTGCATGTGGTTTCAAGAATCCTTGCAACAATCCTGCAAGGTGGGCCAAAGGATTATTTTCATATTGCAGATGAGGGCAAAGAGTTCCTGGGTCTTTTCACACTACACGGTTATAGCAGTATGATTCCACTTTAACTGCTAAAATTCCATCCAATAGATTCCTGAAATTTTCACTTTAGGGAGTGGTATTTAGAACTCCTAGACTCTAAATACCCTAAAAGCACCAGATCCCATCTGATCTTGGAAGCTAAGTAGGGTGAAAGGAGCCCTGGTATCACAGTGGTTAAATACCAGTACTGCAGCCCACGTTGTGAGTTTGATCCCAGAGCTCCAAGGGTGACTCAGCCTTCCATCCTTTTACAAGTCAGTAAAATGCATACCTAAATTGTTGGGGCAGTTGGCTTACAGATTGTAAACCACTTAGAGAGGGCTCAGTTCACTATTAAATAGTATAGAAATGTATATGCTATTCTTATTGCTAGTACTTGGTCAGGAGATCACCAATGAATACTGGATGCTGTAGGCTATATTTCAGAGGAAAGAATTGGCAAAACCACCTCTGAGTATTCCTTGTCAAAAAGCTTGTCTACACCAACAGGAAACCCCATGCTCATCCCATAGCCAGAGAACAGTTTCCCAGTCTACAGTAACTCAGATAAAGTCACACTTACCATGGAAATGAAATCCATGGGGTCACCATACATCCACAGGCAACAAGTACATACACAAACATTTAGAATCCCTAGAGAGATCTAGTGCCTCATCACACTAGAGACCTCAGGCTTTCATGAGATGCAGCCCTCCCTAATGGCAGAGTTGACCTGGCTGTGAGCCAATCCTTTTTTGTAGACTCATAAAAGTCCTACAATGAAATTGGTCAATGGGGTTTGCTATGTTCACAATGCAGGATCTGACTTCCCCAAGCTCTAAGAGTCATACTACACTTGTGATGCCCAAAGATGAATGTGCTCCTTTATTTCAGCTCTCACAAAGCTGTCATTTCTAAATTTGTGTTTGTGAAAGATTTGCTGGTTGCAAGAGGGGAAGTTCTACAGTGTTAATAGGATCATTATTTTGATTGGATATTTTAGGGAGATTTGGGTAAAAACCAGGATATTCTGCAGCATAATTATATCAAGCTTGATTTATTTTAATATACATTGCCCAGCTAGAATTTCCAGACATAAAGTTAGAAGGCCATTCTTTTCATATGCCATCTCTGAAAGAAAATTAAGACAGCAACAATAATCATAAAGGTTTCTCTAAGCATTAGCTAAAGTTCCCATTTTAACATTTTATTTTAAAAAAGAAAACTTCCCCAGAGCAGTTAACACAAGAAGTTAGCTTCACAGTAGGCACAGGAGACTTTTTTTTTTCTTGGAGCTGTTCCATTGCTGAAAATAGTACAAATTAGCCTGGATCCAGGTTAACTCCTCAGTTACTTCCATTAATACAATATGATGTGTATTAATAGCATAATAGGATCAGATATAAATCAGTTTCCAGTTGCAAGTGGGATGGAACAGCTGTAAATTCTGATACAATTTCTTGGTCACTTAGATTGTGGTTTGAATCAGGTTATTTATTTATATTTTTTGAGATTTCATAACCTATGCAATCT